TTCTCTGGAGAGAACCATGTTAAGGAACAAGCAGGAATGGGATTTTTTTTTTTGACCACATTTCTGGGGGAAGCTTCTGGATGGCTTTCTGGTGGAGTGTGACAGTGAAGGGTGTGGCGGACCCCTTTGTCAGCGCTGGCTGGGCCTGCAGTTTTCCATCTCGAGGAGAGACAGGTAGCACCAGAGAAGTCTATAATGAAGATCAGAGACTGGAGAGTGTGACAGCTCTGGCAGCTGATGTATTGGGTCCATGCTAATTTTAGACAGAGGCATTGATGGATCCCCAAATCTTGACCACACATCCCATTAGCCTCTGTCTATGACAGTGGGAGAACGATATTAAAAAACAGTGCAAGTGCCGAAAAAAAAAAAAAAAAAGAGGCTGACTGAAAGGTGCAGAGCAGTCAAAAAGCCTCAGTAAAATCTGAAATAGCTTCAAAAAATATTTCCCTGAGACGTTACTATTAAGTTAACCTTGTGGCAGGGAAGTGGGGAGCTAGCTTTTATTTTCCCAGACATTTGAAGCGTGGGAAGCAGTTCTAAATGAATTCATTCCACTGAGCAGATTTGCAGCTGGAGAGGTAGGCCTTTAGTAGGGTTTCAGATTATGTGTCAATTAATTATTCCGTGAGCCCCTCGAATCTGCAAAACACGGTATTATTTTTACACATTTATCTTACACATTTTCCGCAATCTCGGGAAGGTGCTGCGTTTAGCTTTTGTCTGGAGTTAGTGGTTGGCCCAGAGGTGGCCATCTCTCCCTGAGCTACTCCGTCCCTTGCTTATCAGCGTGATCTCGTCAAAATTGGGTGGTGGCGTCACCCGAGGACTAAAGAATATTGGGCATTATTTTGATTATTTAAAAGAAGGCGAATCGGACACTGGCATCCAAGGAGGGCCTTTTTCTTTTCAAGCTGGAGAGCATGTGACATTTGGTGGCTGTGCTGCCACGGGTCACAATGCATTCCCTGTGTCTTCCCAGCACCGCCACCCGCCTGGCCTCACACTTGCCCAGCGTGAAGGATCCAGGTGGAGCTGTATTGTGATGCTCACCTCACTGTGTGGGATCAGGCTAGTATTTTTGACACGTTGCCTAAAATATAAATGACCACCTCTTTGGACAAATAAGAAAGCAGGCTGGCAGCGGCTCAGCCCCAGTCCAAACCGTGTCCTCAGAGTAGAGTTGACAAATAGTGCCGCATGAAGCTTGGAAACTGAGAGGTTACCTTGACAGACAAGGAGCACAATTATCACAATATGATGAAAGAGCTTCCATGAGTATGTATTGCGCCGTTAATTACTGTCCTTTTTCTACAGGCTTCTAATGTGAGGAAAAACACGGAATGACAAGTGTGGGAAAGAGCAAGCACTAAATTACTGTCAGAAAAATAAACGGAGTAGCACAGTGGTGCTCGGTGATTTACGGGGGCAATTAGTCCCCACCCCACGGCGCTGCTGAGGACAGCACGCGGCAGGCGCGCCGGGCCCACGAGGAAGAAGGGGCTGCTGCTCTCCAGACAACTTTTCAGACTCCCAGGCGGGATCCTGGAGCACGTTCGGTTCCATGTCTTGGTTCTGGGTGCCCACCCCTCACGTCAGCCCCCCAGCTGCAGGCAGACACGTCATTTTAACAGGACGTGAAGCTCTTGGGTGTGTGTTTGGAAAGCCTGCAACTGCAGCTTGTTTCCACTCCCATTGTCCAGGAAGGGGGTTAGCCCCTCGCTTCAAAGACACAACAGAAAAGCACCTGTCCTCGCTCCCAAAGTGTCCCCCTGGTGTGTGCCTTCGCTCTGTCTCATTAGTGCCTGCGTCTCGCTACCTGTCCTGCTGGGCGGAGAGCCCGTGGGTGCTGAGGAATGTGGCCTGCAGCTCCTCCTGTGAGCTTTCCTGAGCTGGTACAGGGAGGGCTGCACCAGGCTGCAAGACCCAGAGTCAATGAGAAAGGTGTCTCAGCGCCCCATGTTCCGGGACAGTCTGTGGAGCGTCTGTGCTCTGTAGGGTAGTGAGATAAGCCTGCCAGGGTATAATTAATGGTGCGCCTTCTGGAAGAAATACGCACCATGAGAAGGAACCTCGGATGGAAGACCGGGAAGGAACCCAGGGAAGACTGAGTCTTTATTGACCAGAGGCCTCATCTGTGCAGGGCAATAGCTGAGGTGGACGAAGGAGCCTTCACTGGAAGTTCAGTGTTCTCCCCCAGTGCTAGCTAAGAGCGCTGCCAGCTTGCATGACTGCAGTCCTCCGCACGTCACCGAGGACATCTGTACCTCCTCTGCTCATTCCATCTTGCCCTGGCTTTAGCCAAGGACATCTGCACGGTCAGCACTGTGTTCGGTAGGTGGGGACACCGTTGGAGAAAGTGCCCCAGCACGCACCACCTTTGACTTGTGACCTGGAGTCGTGAAGAGGCAGAACCACGTGGATGAGCTCGGGCCCAGCATGGCGCACCATTCCACGGGACGCTTCATTTTTGATAGAGAGGGTCACAGCTGGGAAAACTTCAGATTTCACTCGCTACTCTTCTCCATGTTATTAGGCTCCCCCGACCCTGGGAGTTTATAAACACATGCCTTTTAAAACAAATTCATAATAAGCACTGGGATTTGATATAGCCTTGTATATTTCTAACTGCGGTAAGCATTGGTTTTCAACTACCGTTTAACCAGGAAAGCAAGTCAGCCAGTAAAGAAGGCAAATGTGTTTTTGTATAATATCACAGACATGTGAACTTGTTCCGATCTCTGGATACCAGCAATGACTTTGAAATTTAACTAAAAATGTTTTGTATCAGTAAACAAAGCCCAATTAAAAGTTACCTAGTGCATTTTTCACATTTTTCCTGTCTCCTCAAATCACACTTTTATTTCTGACAGAGGGACACGCTGGGAAAACTGCCTCAATATACAAAATGAAATTCCAGGTATAAAAATTCTGTATTTCTAACAAATCTTGTTTTTACTCTTTGATTTAAACAGAGCACTATAAAAGTATTACCCCTACAACAGGCACATGTTTATATGCGTGCTGTTTTTGTTTAGAGATTAGGAGCCACATAAGAGTGGAAACGACCTTGGTTGGTGTGCTTACTTACTGATAGAAATGATAGCCTTTTTCTGTCTGGATTCCGGTCTCTACTAATCATGAAACTTCCATCCATTTCAAAGAGAGGACTTGGACGGGATGAAAACAGGAGGCTGGCTTCCTGCACGCCCCTGCGTGTGTGCTTGTGCAGAATGTGCATGCGATCTTCCGAGTTGGCTGTAATCTATAATTCCTGGCTGTTATTTCAGTTGCAGCTATAATTTTTAGATTAATGGTTATAATTTTGGTGAGGCCTACATGAAAAGTTACATGCTCATGCGTGGGAGGAGGATCATTAAATATTCATTATTACCACTCAAATTAGTTGTCATGCTTTACATAACAGTTACCTGTTATCATTTCACTAGTTTAGATTCAGCAATAAGTGAACAGCAATATATAGCTCATAGCAGTAGAGGAATTATTTTGCTAGGGAACAGGGAGAAAAATGATTTAAAAACCCATTTGACATATTTATGTTGACAAATTATTTAAAGGAATTACTGTGTTGTCAATAAACACGTTTGTATGAGGGAATAGGATTGTGGCTGGATTTGCTTCTAGCTGTTTAATTACTCTAGCTATGAAAAACAGGGCTTCTTCAAATGAAAAAATTAAACATATAAAGGTTGAGATATTTTCGTCTTTGGCAGACACCTAACCTTGCCATGAAAAGGCACTTTTCATTTTTGTAAGCAAACACTGAAATCTTGCTATTCCAGCAAAGCTAGGTTGTGTGATTTGTGAGTTTTCCCCCATCTGGTGTAGATCTCTCCTTTAGAAAAAAAAAAAAGAGTGAAGAGTAAAACAAGAAATGGATTTCATAAATGTTGATGAACGGATGGAGATCATGTCACACCAATACATTTTGAAAAGGCATGGAGTGGAGATAAAGAAACACAAATCTACTTTAGGGTAAAAACATTTGATTTTTGTCTTCTATGTCCCCTGGTATGCCAGTTTAGTTTTGTTAGGACACTAGGATAGTCACATTTGTTGTTGTTGACCACGTATCTGAATCATTCCATACTCCTCAATAATTTGAAACTGACTCTTCTCCTGTAGAAAATAAATTTGATTCTGAACTCGTCTAACTTTAGAGCTTTCTGTCTGAAAGAGTCAAAGTGGAGCTGATGAACACATTTTGCATTTTTCCACATTGCATCTGGACTCTTCGTAATGATGGTTTATTTTTTTTTCTGCACAGAAGAGAAAAAATATATAGGTCCATGAATCAATCTAGATAATGGGGAAGGCTGAATGTAATAAATAATACAGTAACAACCCTAAACTAATGAGCTGTTGCTAAGGTACATTTCATAGGCTCATCCTCTATATAAAAAGTCACTAATAACCCCTTGGTGTAATCAGATGATAAAGCTTTGCCATAAGGCAACACCTGTGCAATTAGAACTGCAGATTCTTTTGCACGTTTCATTAATTTCAGGATTTTGTAAAGGCACAATGACTACACTAATAATCTAGTCTATTTGACTCCATGTCTACCGGAAACAAAGCGTCTAATTAGATAAAGGTAATTAATTAGAGATAAATGGAGCTAATCAGGCCCAGTTAACACTAATTCTCTGAATTAAGACATTTTGGGACACCTACCATCCTGCTGACTTTGATATTTTGCATTAAGACTGGGTTCTAGAGGAGTCAGAAAACACTGGCATTTGAGAATTGAGCAGTCTTTTGATGGCAACTTTGGGCATCTGAAGCCAAAGGAGAATTTTCTTTCATATTGTGCTATTTCACCACCTTTCTATTGCAGCTTAAAGAATTCACTTTGTAGTTATTCCAATCTGTGCTAGTCTCCATATAAATTTTAATAACCTTTGCTATCGTTTTTATTATCTGTCTAGTCCCGCAATGGAAGAAAATCACAAGTTGTTCTGTCTTTTAAATAAAGACCTAACTTGTTACATTAAGGAAATGTCAAGACTCATCAGCCTGTATCCTAAAATTCTGATCCTTTAAAGAGAACAAACACCTGAAATTCTGATCCTTTTAATTCTGATTCTTTAGAGAACAAACCTCTGCTTAGCAATGGTTGGGCTGAAAATTCCGTGATGTGGGGGAAAGCGCATTAGCTTTGAAGTCAGAAGATCTGAATTCAAATTCCTGTTCGATCTCTTACTAAGTGAGTGATCTTTGAAAGTAGCTTAACCTCTCTGAGTTCCTTTGATTGTAAATGGAAATAAAACTGACTCATGTAATACGGACACTAACATTACAGGGTTGCCATGAATGTTGAGTGAGGGAGCTATATTTAGGCTTCAGTTATTAACCATTAACTCTCAGACCAGGACTGAACACAAGTCCGGCACCTCTTCTTGACTGACTACAGCAGTAGATGTCAAAAATGTTACATTTTTGTCTCAATCCCATCCTAGTCTGTGGACTACTTTTAAATGAGAGGAAGAGATTAAGAATTTTCTCCCAAATAGTGCATCAGGAAAAAAGATCACTGGAATTCTTTCCTTGGAGAATGTGAGTTTATCTGCCTTTGTTTTCTATACTGAAATAATAATCCCTCTTGGCAAGTTATTTGTAATGCACAAGGAGTGGACAGATTGCTCCAGAACTGAACTTGTCAGATGTAGCTTAAAACAAAGTGGACATTTGTCTTTTTCTTCTAAAAAGCCTCTGGGATATGCCCCTTCCTCCTTCTGGTCTCTGCTCTCACTTATGTGGACCACTCCTGCGTTGCTTCAGTGGTCCCCTAACTAGTCCTGCTTTCATTTCTTTCTCCTGTAATTCAGTGTCACCAAATTAATCTTTATAGAGTACTGTCCTCGATCTCGCCCATCAGACGATTCTTCCCTTGTTAGGACTTTATCACGTGGATAAGCAGAGTAGCTATATCTGGTCCCATATTACTTATTTAACCTTTTTTATTTTTAAAGATTTATTTAGTTGAGAGGCAGAGGCAGAGGCAGTGAGAGAGGTCTTCCATCCTCTGGTTCACTCCCCAAATGGCCTCAGTGGCTGGAGCTTGGCCAATCTGATGCCAGGAGCCAGGAGCTTCTTCTGAGTCTTCTACAAAGGTGCAGGGGCCCAAGGACTTGGGCCATTTTCTGCTGTCCCAGGCCACAGCAGAAAGCTGGATTGGAAGTGGAGCAGCTGGGACTCGAACCGGTGCCCATATGGGATGCCAGCACCCCAGACAGGGGCTTTAACCCACTGCGCCCTGAGCCAGCCCCCATCCAATTTTATTATCTCTACTGCCCTCATAGCCAATGGAGCCTTTTATTACAGGAACCTATTCATACCTAGGAATTTCTTTCAAGACCTATTTCAAATCCTGCCTAGCCCAGTGCTCCCCTGACAACTCTGTCCCACCAAGTGCTTTCTTGTCTTTGAAAGCCCACAGCAGCTCCCAATGGCACCGCATATTAGCGTTGACTCCAGCAGTGTTTGAGTCAGTGACCCTCTTTCCTGATCTTGCCAACACCAGTGAGATGTCTGAGGTTAGGACCTAGTCTCCTTGTGTGCTTTGCTCATGTTGCTCTTCTCTCAAACCCCAGCCTTCACAGGGCTGGGCCCTCCAGGGGATGCAACAAAGCAACCTGCATGTTACTCATCTGTGAGGTGTGGCCTGGCCCGGTACTTGGGCAGACACGTCTACCTGACCTTTGTAGTAACCATGAGACTTTTTGCCCACTTTGGACTGGGTTGAGATCTAAGCTGGGCCTTCATGTTTGGAAACAAGATGACCTAATGAAAGGCCTGCCCTATGTCCCTATGTCCATGAGACTTTGCCTCTGGCAAGTGTAGCTAATGCCTTTTATAACGTGCAGAGAGGGAATGCAGGAAGTAACCCTGAGTATCTCATGACCCTCAGAATGCCTAACAAGCACACAGTGCCCAGCACACATTTCAGAAAGGGCTGGGCAAGGTTGGGCTGAGACCAGCATTCATAAGAGACTGTGATGGTTATTTTATGCGTCAACTGGACTGGGACATGGGTGCCCATAGCAAGCATTATTTTGGGGTGTGTCTGTGAGGGTGTTTCCGAATGAGATTAGCATGTGACTGTGGCCAGAGTAAAGCAGACTGCCCTTCTCAAGTAGGTGGGCCTCACCCAACCTGCTGAGGGCCTGAGGAGAACAAAAAGGCCAAGGAAGGAGGACTTTGCCCTCTGGCTGCTTGAGCTGGGGAACCTATCAGTCTTCTGCTGTGGTCTGGGACTCACCCTGTCAGCCCTGTGGTTCTCAGAACACTACCACCAGATTTCCTGGGTCTCTACCTTGCAGGCAGCAGATCAGCGGACTTCTCCAACTCCACAAATCCATGAACCAATCCCTTACAATAAAAATCATATATAAATATCCCATTTTTCCCTCTCTCTGGAGAACCCTGGCTAATAAAGTGACCTTTAATCTGATTTCTTAGTGCATGTTTGGTACTACAGGTGTTCTATGGAGAGGCCATGTCAGGAAAATTGAAACTTACATGGATTAGATGTCCAGCTTGGTTAATTGCAAAAACGTCCATAATTTCTTGCCTTCCTTGTGTCTATACCCTTTGACAGAACCTTTCCAACACTGACTCTGAACTTGGCCATGTGATTTGCTGTCCTGAGCAGATGACTTGAAAAAAAGCTTGCATATGAAGACTTGCTCTCTGGCTGCTCTTGAAGCCCTGGGCTCCTCTGTGAGTAAGTGCAGGCTGGCTGATAGGTTATAACAGACACGTGACCCAATGTCTCCCTTTCCCCAGCCAACCTCAGAAGCAGAGCTACCTTGCTAACCAGATGATTATGGAAGTACCCGTGAGTCCAGATGAGTTTAGAAGAATAACACAGTGGATTAAACAAAATATGAAGGATCTTCAAAAAGTTCATGGGAACTCTGTGCATTGAAAAAAGGATACATGGATTTTTGAAAAGTTTTTGCACCAAAATGAACTTATCTT